AACTTTTGGTTCTGCCGCAGACTTTGTGGTGCTCGACGACACCCTCCATGTTCAGGCCACTTACATCTCGGGTGAACTGGTATGGAAGGCAGAGGAAACTGGGCCGTGACTGAGGATCTTGGCTGGTCTCCAGGGAGCAAGTTTGGGAGTCCTGTCCCAAGTCTCATTCGGAACCTCATCACTGCACTGAAGAGGAAGCATAAATACAGACAATAGGACTTGCCTTGTCCGAGTTGTGCTTTGAGTTATGCTTATGTTCTACAGGGCTGTTGGTGTTCACTCTTGCCCTGGGGCCTTCTGGATTAGCTTGGGACCAGGAAGGGTTGGGTATACCACATGAGACCTCCTGTGTAGGCCAGATCTGTTTTGAGGTCTGCTGACCCCCAGGAAGATGTTAGGGTTGGCAGTGAGTGGAATGATTTTGGGGGAAGCCACTGGGAGAGGCAGGAGACAGTATGTGGATGACTGACCCCCAGCTAGATGGGCAAAATGGAAGCCATAGCTCCAGGCTCTCGCAGCAACATTCAGGAGGGTGCCACATGTTGGTCTTGGGGCCTAGGGTTACTTAGCAATGAATGCAGGAATGGGTGCCTTAAGGGCCTCCAGTTTGAGCCTAGGACTCCACCCACTGCTCCCTGACCTGCCAGACCTGCCTAGCACCTCCTTGGATAATCAAAAGTTCCATTCCCTGTGGTGTCTTCTTTCAAAGACCCCAACGGCTGACAAATCTTCCTTCATTCCCATGTTTGGTGGCTGTGGCATACCTGCCTGGTGCTGGTGGGCAGTTCTGGTCTTATGGCTCTGTTTGCTCTGTTAGTCTTGGGCAGGGCATACAAGAGTACCCTAGCCTGACTTCCTCCCACTTGGGGAATGTGGTTCATCAGGCTCCCTGGAAACATCACTGCACAGGCTTTGGGGATTCCTTTGACTTGAAGGATGGCTGTGATGTAGGAGTATATACCAAAGGTTGGAGGTCAGGTCTTGGAATGCCTTCACTTTGCATTGGGTCCTGGGGTAGGTGACTCCCCCTGGCATGTGATACTTTATACCTTAGGATAGGAGGTTGCAAACATGTATCAGGTATATAGGAACTGTTTTTAGGCCAAAGTTTGAAAAATAAAGAAGAAGGAAACTAGGCAAACAAAACACTCTTGGACCTTCTACTGTTGGAGAGCAAGAGCCTGGAGAGAATAGCTGGTGGGCAGGGGCACAGTCAGCCCACAAAAGCCATCGAGGGATCCCAGCCTCAGTGGAGTGAAAGGCAAGCAAGGGAGCCTGCATTTACCTCATTGCCACACCCTCCATATGACAAAGGACAGGGAGGGCATGAGTCACATGGGGCCAGTCCATCAGGACTCACCGGCCTGTGGAGACCTCCCTCTGCTGGTGGCAGGCCTCACTCCCAAACTTTTCATGCATGTTGACTCATTTCACCTGTCTACCAGAAACCCAATGGTAGGCATACCTGTCTGTCACCTTAATTTCTCAGATGAGGGAATCCGGCACTGGCTTCTGCTGGATAGTCCTGGTGACCAGGACTCCGTGTGGAGACTAAAGGTACAATTCAATAGTAGAGAGCTTGCATAGCATGTATATAAGGTCCTGGGTTCTGTTTCAGTACAGAACTGGCCTTGACTGCCCAGATCCAGTTTCACTGTATTTGTGCTGCTGCTCTGGGTGGACATCACGAAGGGCTCAGATGAGTGAGCCGTGGTTTGGGGCTACCCAGAAATGATGGGAACTAGCACTGGGAAGGTTTTGAGGTGGAAGGAACTACCTCAACAGAAGACAGAGGCAAGCAGGCTTACGTGTTGGAATATAGCTGGGGGAGGAGTCAGTGGCTCTGAAGCTGCTCTACAGATTTGAAGTATTAGATTTTTTTTTTTTTTTGGTGTGTGTGGGGGGTGGAGACAGGGTTTCTCCGTCCTGGAACTTGTTCTTTAGACCAGGCTGGACTTGAACTCACAGAGATAGATCCTCCTGCTTCTGCTGGATTAAAGGAATGCACACCACCACCTGCCTGGATTACTGTTTAAAAAAAAAAAACAGCTGGAGAGATGGCTCCGTGTTTAAGAGCATGTACTGTTTTTGCTGGAACCTGTGTTCAAGTGCAGCACCCACGTCAGGTGGCTTTCCTCAGGGGGATCTGCATATCCTCCACACAGACGTGCACATACATATAATTAAAAATAATAATAAATTCTTAGATTGGGTGTTGGTGGCACATATCAGCACTTGGAAGGCAGAGGCAGGAGGATCTCCATGAGTTCAAGGCCAGACTGGTCTACAAAGCAAGTTCCAGAACAGCCTCCAAAGCAATACAGAGAAACCCTGTCTCGAAAAACCAAAAAAAAGAAAAAAAAAAAAGAAAAACTGTAAGTAAATAAAGGTAAAAACAAATCTTACAAAAGTATAAAATTGCTCAGCATAATTGTGCATGCTTGTAACCCCCTGGAGGGCAGAGGCAGGAGGAACAGGAGTTCAGTGTTGTCCTTGGCCATATATATATCAAGTTGGAAGCTACTCTAGGCTGCATAATCTCAGCAAACTGGGAAGTCATCTCTTGTAGCGAAGGCTAGCCTCCAATTCTGTGTGTAGTTGAGAACACGATCCTCTTTTCTCTACTTTCTGAGGGTGGATTTACAGCTAAGTATTTGGTGCTGGAATTTGAGCCCAATGCCTCATGCATAATAAGCAGCACTCTCAACTGAGCTACATCCCCAAACCCAGAAATTATCACTTCAGTTTTTTCTTTTTGGCCAGGCATTGGTGGCACACACCTTTGTTACCAGCTCTCAGGAGGCAGAGGTAGGCAGATCTCTGTGAGTTCAAGGCCAGCTTGGTCTACAGAGTGAGTTCCAGGACAGCCAGGGCTATGTAGAGAGACCTTAATTTTTTTAATTTAATTTTTTGTTTGTTTTTTTTGAGGCAGGGTTTCTTTGTGTAGCTTTAAAGGCATCCACTACCACTGTCCGGCATTTAAAAAAATTGTATTTACGTGTGTTCATTTATGTGCATCCAGGTGTCCAAGAAGGCCAGAAGATATGTCAGACCTCCTGGAGCATGGGGTAGGTGCCGAGAACAGAACTAGGCTTCTTGAATACTGAGCCATCTCTCTCGTCCCTTAACTACTTGAAAGTTTATCTTTAATTATGTATGCGTGTGTACGTATGTAGGTATGTGCACATGAGTGCATGTGCAGTGGAGGCTAGAAGCCTGGAACCTCCTGGGAGCTGTAGTTACAGTGTTTGCGAGCTGGGTGGTATAGATGCTGGGAACTGAACTCTGGTTCTTTTTTTTTTTTTTTGGTTTTATGAGACGGGGTTTCTCTGTATTGTTTTGGAGGCTGTCGGTCCAGCCCGGCCTCGAACTCACAGAGATCCGACTGCCTCTGCCTCCCGAGTGCTGGGATTAAAGGCATGCAACCACCATTCTTTTATTTACTTTTTTTTTTTAACATTTTATTTCGTGGGTATGGGTGTTTCGCCTGCATTTATGTCTGTGCACCACGTGAGTACAGTACCCAGGAAGGAATTGGACCCCCTGGGGGTGGGGTTATTAGGTGTTATGTGGGTACTGGGAATTGAACTCAGGACCTCTGGAAGAGCATCCAGTGCTCCTAACCCTGAGCCAACTGCAGCCCCACTTTAAGCACTCTTGCACTCTTGCGTGTGCAGTTCAGTAACTGTAAGCACCCTCATGTTGCTGTGCAGCCATCACCCCCATCATCTCAGGAACTATTACTTTCCAGACATACTCTGTCAGTGCAATTAGTCTCCTACCACAACCACACTCTGCCCGCCGATGGCTCAGAGCTGGAGGGCTAGTCACAGGAAGGTGTGCCGGTTACTTCAGTCTGGGGCTTCTGGGGCACGGATGCCGCCCCAGCTGTTGGTAACAGTTGGTGCCGCATCAGGCATGCCTGTGGTATGGGTGTGGACTGGGGGACAGCCACTCCCTGAGGTCAGCTGAGTCACGGTAGTGGTAGGGAGCTGAACAGGTTGGGAGCCAGTGCTCCTGAGACAGCTGGCGGACGCTTTTATTCAGTCTACCCCGGGAGGCAAACGATTCAGTACTACGAAGCGCACGGGTGCCATCTGGCGGCCGGCGATGGTTAGCAGCCTGCCAGGCTCCCTGGGAACTCGGGTTCCAGTCCCGAGCCAGACGACCTGGGTCCGTTGACCTCTGGTGTTGCGGCAAAATGATGTTCTTAAGGCCGGCTGGTGGTTCATGAAGAGGGATCGTCTGTGACAGAGACTACCCGCACCTTGGAGTCGGGTGTGGCATGCTACTTAACCGCCTGAGCAAACACTAGCAGGTTGGAGGAGTGGTTCAGCCCAGCCAGCGGGCACTACAGGGTGCCGCGGAGGCCACGCCCACCCGCCGGATGGCTGTTTTTGCAAGGATCAATCATAATGTTCTTCGCAGTACAAGGCTCGGAGCTGTAGGACTCCTGAAACCCTTGGGCCCAACTAAAGGAGCAAAAGTAGGCAGAATCCACACATAGGCTCAATCAGCACGGGTGCAGCACCGAGCACGACGTGCGGAGCCACTGAATCATTTCCTCCCCTTCAGGGGAGTCCCTTGACTGGCCCTCTGAAGTGCCCAGGTGGCTTTTGTGAGGATTGCAGTGAAGGGCTCCAGCCGGAGCCTTTTCCCTATAGGTGCTCAGGGTGCTGCACTTGTTTGACTGAGCCAGATTGCACTTTTAGTAGTTTGGCAACTCTGTTGTCAAACTGAACACGCTAAGTGTAGAGTTTTCCAGGTGGAACCCCTTGTCTGAGGAGAGGCAGCTAGCCTAGCCGGCAGAGAGCTGCATGGGGTTGCCCACGTGGGAGGAACTGAGGTCTGCAGTTCACTATGGTAGCAGTAAGTCTTTAGCCCTACTACACAAGCTTTCAAACCTCTCAACTATGGCTGTGGGGTTTGGCTTTGTTTTGTTTTGGGGGTTGGGGAGTGGTGGTCAGGCAGTCTTACACAGCACAGCCTATTCTCCTTTGCTATGTATTGGAGGCTGACCTTGAACTCTGCCTCTGCCTCATGAGTGTTAGGATTAAAGGCACAGACTATCATGCCCAGTTCCAGCAGCATCTTTTTGCAGGCTGGAGAAAGCAGAGCTTAACCACGTATCCAGGATACTTCTGGACTTCTAACTCCACAACATCACGAGGTCATGTTTGGGGGGCACAGTAGAAATTATTTAACCATCCAGATGGGGCACGTTGATCAGTTTCTAGCCTCTTAACCTGTTTTCTCACGCCATGAGGGCTGGTTGAAGAGAGTAAAACAGTGTTAACCATGTGCACAGCAGACACCTACCAGTCACTTCAAAGGTGATTCCCATCATCCTCATGCCCTTCCATGACCTCACAATGTCACCCCAAGCCACAACATGCTTGGCTCAGGGAGACATTGCTTACACAAGAGAGTCTGGGCACAGAAGGGACAGACAGTCCCTCTCCTTTATCTCAGGTACCAATGAACTAACTGTACGGGAGCAGGTAAGCCCATCTCCCCTCCTGTCGATTGTGCTGGGGTGGGCAGCCAGACCCTGTCTTTGCAGAGGTAAGAGGAGCTACCTGGCCATGCGTGGCTTGGGTCTTGCCTGTTAGCTGCCAGGAAGGTCCTAGAGACAGAACTGTCCTGCTTTCTGCTGCCCTCCCTACCCTGCTCCTGTCACCTGCTCAGTTGCCTTTAAAACGTGTGTGTGTGTGTGTGTGTGTGTGTGTGTGTGTGTGTGTGTGTGTGTACACAAGTACCCTCACAGGCCAAAGGGGTCAAATTTCCCTGGGGCTAGAGTTGTAGGCAGTTGTGAGTAGCCTGTTGGGGGTACTTGTAGCAGGCTTTCTTTCACTGCCAACTGCCAACACCCAAATCATGACACGGAGACTTACTGTAAATTTTGAATACTTGGCCTTAGCTTAGGCTTGTTTCTACCTAGTTTTTTTTTTAACTTAAATTAGTCGATTTCTGTTAATCTCTGTGCTGCCCGGAGGTTCATTTACCTCTTCTACATACTGTCCATTCTCCTTTCCTGCTTGCTGGCTGGGCTCCTTTTCTCTCTGTCCACAAGCTCCACCTATCTCTCCTCTGCCTAGGTATTGGCAATTCAGCTTTTTATTAGACCAATCAGATGCCTTAGGCAGGCAAAGTGAAACAGTGACACATCTTTACATAGTTAAATATCCCACAATATAAACAAATGCAACACATCTTTACATAGTTAAACAAGTATTCTATTCCACAAGTACTGGGAACTGAACTTGGCTCTTCTGCAAGAGCAGTATATACTCTTAAGCGCTAGGCCATCTCTCCAGCCCAATATCTTTTTATTTCAACCAGCATACTTGACTTTTTTTTTTTTTTTTTTGGTTTTTTCAGGACAGGGTTTCTCTGTGAAGTTTTGGAGCCTATCCTGCAGACACTCTATAGACCAGGTTGGCCTTGAACTCACAGAGATTGCCTGCCTCTGCCTCCTAAGTGCTGGGATTAAAGGCATATGCCACCAACACCCAGAATGGCCGACTTTTTTAATGTGGACTCTGGGGGATTAACGGATTAATTTAGGTTCTTATGTTTGCAAGGCAATCATTTTACCAACTAAACTATTTCCTGCCTTCTTTTAGGCTTTTAATTTTAATTCTACTTCAATTTATTGGGATCTGAACTTGTACTTTAGAGGTAGAGCATTTGCCTAGCATGTTCAAGTTCCTAAATTTGATTCCCAACACCACAACATGCACAAAAACTTTTGTATACACTTTAAATTTTTTTTAACAGGCTTCACATGATGGCTCAGGCCTTTAATCCCAGAACTCAGGAAGCAGAGGCAGGCAGATCTCTATGAGTTCAAGCCCGCCTGACCTACATAGTGAGTAATAAGCTAACCAAGGCTAGTTAGTACGTCCTTACCTAAAAAGTATTTGTGTGTGAGAGTGTGTGTGTTTGTGTGTGTGTGTTTGTGTGTGTGTGTGTATGCAAGTATGGAGGTTATAGGAGAAGCTGTAGCAGCTTGTTGTCTTCTGTGTGTGGTCATCACACAGGGCGTCATATAACTCAGGCCATCACGATGGGCAGCAGGTGCCTTTATACCAGCTCAGTCATCTGTTGGTTCATCACATACTTAAAGCAGGAAAAAATCCACTGTATTCCCTCCCTTGTGACATGATCAAAGCTGGCCTTGAACTCCTCCTACCTTAGCCATCAGGATGCTAAAATTAAAGGAGTGTGCCACCACAGAGAACGAACCCTGGACTCAGGCACTTTAGTCACTCACTCTGCCACTGCTCTGTGTCTCCCAGTAGCACACTTCACTTTCAATGAATCTTTAAACATATTTTACATGTATGTATGTATGTATGTATGTATGTATGTATGTATGTATGTGGTGTGCATACCAAAGCCTGTATGTGGTAGTTAAGAGGACAACTTTTTGGATCCTTTCTCTCTTTCATCCTGTGGGTCCCAGGGATTAACTCAGGTCATCAGGCTTGGCAGCAAGTGCCTTTACCTGCTGAGCCATCTTGCCAGCAGCTGTTGAATTTTAAATTTTGTATTCTTTTTTTCTTCAAGACAGTATTTCTCTGTGTAACAACCCTGGCTGTCCTGGAACTCATTCTGTAGACTAGGCTGTCCTCAGACTCAGAGATTTGCCTGTTTCTGTCTCCTGAATGCTGGGACTAAAAATGTGCATCACCACTGCCTGGCAACTTTTTTATTCTTTATTGCTTCTTTTTTATTATTTTGAAGAAAAAAAAAGGTTGACTTTTTCAAACAGAATTTCACTGTGTGGCCCTGACTGATCTGGAACTCATTTCATAGTCCAGGCTGTCCTGAACTTAACAGAGATCTGTTTGCCTCTGCTTCCCGAGTGCTGGGGTTAAAAGCCTGCACCACCACACCTGGTTTGGCTTTACTTTTTTCTGTTAGAACTTTGCTCTGTTCCTTGTCGTGAGTGCATACTGATCTCTAGGGTCGACAGAAGGTCGTCTGTGTGTGCATATGGAGGCCTGAAGTTGACATTGGGCATCTTCCTTGGTGGCTCTCCACTTTTATTTATTGAGGCAGGATCTCTCAAATGCTGGTTAGGCTAGCTAGCTGCTTGCTTCAGGAATCTCCAGTCTCTACCTCTTGAGTGTTGAGTACTTGCCTCACTATTAAGTGGGTTCACGAGGTCCAAATTCCAGTCCTCATGCTTTTGTGAGGCTGTATCCACTGAGCCGTTGCCTCCTCCCTGTTTTATCTCACTTTTATTTTTGTGGTACTGGGGATTAAACAGAGCCTCATACATCATAGGCAAGCACTCGACCTTTGAATTACATCCCCAGCCCTCATCATTACTTTTTAAATTTATTTTTATGAACATTGTTTGGTGTTTTGCTTATATATATATGTCTGTGTGAGGGTATAAGACCCCTGGAACTGGAGTTACCAGACAGTTGTGAGCTGTCGTATGGGTGCTGGGAATTGAATCTGGGTCCTCCAGAAGAGCAGCCAATGTTCTTAACTGCTGAGCCATCTCTCCAGTCTCTCTCATTGTTTATTTTACAATATTTTAGCCAGGCATTGGTGGTACACATCTTTAATCCCAGCACTTGGGAGGCAGAGGCAGGTGGATCTCTGTGAGTTTGAGGCCAGCCTGGTCTACAGAATGCGTTCCAGGACAGCCTCCAAAGCTAGAGAAACCCTGTCTCGAAAAAACCAATCAACCAACCAACCAACCAAACAAACAAACAAACAAAAAATCAATCCCTTGTAACAAATAAGACATTTCTTCTTTTTTATAAGAATATTTTTGATTTGTCTTTCCTTCCTTCCTTTTTTCAAGACAATATTTCCCTGTGTAACTCTGGCTGTCCTGGAACTAACTCTGAAGATCAGGCTAGCCTTGAACTCAAGAGATTCATCTACCTCTGCCTTCTAAGTGCTGGAATTAAAGGCGTGTGCCACTGCCATCACCACCTGGCTTTAAATATAGTTTTTAAAGATTATAATATAGGCCCATAATTTCTCCCTTCCCTCTCCTCCCTCTAGACACTCCAGGTACCTCACCCCTTACTCTTTAAATTATGGCCCTTTCTCTCATTTGTGCAGTCAGGGTTAAGGATGTTGCTCAGTGGTCAATCATTTACTTGAAAGGAGGGAGGCTGTGGCCATAATCCTCAACAACAAAACAGTAGTGAACTGTGGGGTCACAAATATCCTTGTCCAGCTTTACATTCATGAGTGAGAGGTCCTGGGGTTACCGAAGTTAGTCACCATGCCCAGCTCCATTTTATCAATTTGGATTTGTGTCAGTAGATAAAAGATCAAATAGTAGGTCTGGAGAGATGGCCCAGCAATTTAAAGCACTGTCTGCTCTTCCTCAGGACCAGGTTCAATTCCCAGCAGCCACATGACAACGTAAACCATCTTTAACTCTAGTTCCAGGGGATCTGATACTCTCTTCTGACCTTCCTGGGAACTCACACAAATAGTGTTCAGACATACATGCAGGCAAATTACCCATACACATAAATTTAAAAATGAAAACAATAAAAGACCAAATAGTTCTAAAAAGACTGTGATAAAATCAGTAACCACCCCGTTTCCCTGCTTTTTATGTCCATCTTTCTTACTAGTATCTTTATATCCTGAGTCATTTGTGGTTATATATTGCTTTTGTGTTAAATACCCGGCCACAACTCCAGCCTCATGTTAAGAGAGTCTGATGACTCAGGGTTGAGTCAGTACCTGATCACGTCTGTAAATATCACACATAGCAGAAGAGACACTGAAAAGAGACTCAAACTGTGGTTGTGCTGTCTTTCTAGGAGAGTTTTGTCCCCCCCCCCCCCCGGAGGTTTTTCACCTCTATGTCAGCTTTTCAGCTCAACTTTCTATGTGTTGAGAACCTACCTTTGCATACGTTTTTTTTTCTGGAGTGTTCGGGAAGCTTGCTCACTGTGGTCTGGGTGCTTCTGCCCACAGCTCTTATCTCGGCTTTTCTCCACTTAAACTTTTACCTCCTCCCTGCACACTTCTGCAAGTCCATCGGCCTGATTGTCTTTCTTCCCCACAAGACTTACTTCCCTTTTGCTTTGTTTTGTTTGTTTATTTATGTATTTATTTATTGATTGATTGATTTTCGAGACAGGGTTTCTCTGTGGCTTTGGAGGCTGTCCTGAAACTCACTTTGTAGACCAGGCTGGCCTCAAACTCACAGAGATCCGCCTGCCTCTGCCTCCCGAGTGCTGGGATTAAAGGCGTGCGCCACCAACGTCCGGCGTTTTTTATTTTTTGAGATAGGGTTTTTCTCTGTGTAACAGTCCTGGAACTCTTTGTAGACCAGGCTGGTCTCGAACTCACAGAGATCTGCCTGCCTCTGCCTCCCAAGTGCTGGGATTAAGGGTATGTGCCACCGTTGCCTGGCGACTTACTACTTTTCTAATATGCTATAAAATTTGCTTATTGGGCTTTCTCTCTTCCTCTACTCCTGTATCAGTACTAGAAATCCACACGA